CGACGTAACAAACCTAATATATATACTGCTGAAATAACCAATATTTGTATTCAAAAAAAAATTAAATAAAATAAACGATAAAAGAGAGACTTTTACAAGTGTTTATCCAAATTAAACTGAGGTTTTTTTCGTTGTTTTGCAAGAGCACTGTTAGAACGATTCTAAACAAGTGTAAACTAAAGTTTTTGTACAACTGTTAAAAGTGCAAAATTCAACCAATAAAATAGTATTAAAAATTTCAGTAACAACTTTAACAGATGGTGATTAAACCCAACAGAACGCTCATCTTTTCAATCAAATAGAAAAAGAAAAAATTGCTTTTTAAAACAGAATAAAAGTAGAACAAATTTTTTTTTTCGCTTTTTTGTTTTATTTTTTGTTTATAACAATTTTAAAGTTTTAAAAATTTTAGAAGTTTAACATTTTATAAGAAACATCTCTGTCTAACCAACTGACAATAAATAAAATACTCTTTTTAATAGCTTAAGAAAAAATATTTGAAAAAAGACTAATATTATTATTATTATTTTTTTTTTGTTTGAAATCCTAAACAACTAAAATTTATTTTGAACATATTCCGTAAACAAATTTGTTGTAAAAATTTTTTTCCTCTTTCTTCTAAACAACCAATAAAAATGATTAAAAAATGTGACCTAACTGTTGTTTTTGATATCATTAATTTTTCAATACAGTTTTGATGGTATTATTAAAACAAATTGAGCGTCCACAACCAAATAAAATTAATTTATGTATTTTACAACACTTCAAATTGTTCAGTGAATTTAATGTATGCCCTATGTTAAGGTAATTTTGTACTTCATTTATCGTTATACACAAAATGTTCAATAATACATTAAAAATGATGATAACTATTGTTGGGGAGAGGAAAAAAAGATAAAGTTTCACGGATTAGAGCAACTGTTAACTGCAAATCAACATTGAACATTACAGTTGTTATAAATGAACAAATACACACAAACACACACATAAAAGAAGGAGAAGAAGATGATGAAGATGATGATGATGAAGAAAGAAAAGAAGGAAAAGAAGAAGAAGAAGAAGAAGAAGAAGAAGAAGAAGAAGTTATTATCATCAGACCGAATACCTCTGTGCATCTGTGGAGGTCATCCGGCAAAAATTTTTCCAGCAACAACCAAAAGCACTACTGTTTTCCAAGAAAAAAAAAAAAAAAAAATTCTTACAAGTTTTTACTGTAACAACGTTTTGTTTTTATGGCTATGTTTTTTCTTTTGTTTCTGCTGATAAACAGCGTTGTTGGAAAAATTAAGAAAACATATATTTCCCGAGAAGGTTTTTTAGCGTAACACAACGATAACGCTGTACAGAACGATGAAAATGATTGAAAAACTGTAAGTGATAGTTGCATTAATTTCTGCTGATATTTTCGTTGGTGTTGTTGATAGTAAAGTTTGTTAAAAGCAAAAATTTTGATAAGCATATAGACGATACCAACACTCAGAACAGCTGATTTAAAACTTTTACATAAAAAAAAAAAAAGAAAAACAGTATGTAGAAGAAAAAAAACGCAAAAAAGACAGTTCTCTTCTTTTATATTTTTGATTTTCTTTTATACATTGTTCAATGCCCTTTTTTCACATTATAAACTATAAGAACAGGAGGCTCTAACAGTAAAATTCATTTTAAAATAAAAAAACTTTGTTGATCTTCACGTAATTTGAACGCTTCTTTTCGAAGAATAACTTAGATGTAAATTTAGAAACGCAACTTTCAAGTGGAAAGAAGTTAAGGACCGAAAAATTAAGCTATAGATTTGAAAAAAAGTGCAACACTTGTTAGCTGAAGAAGCAAAAAACTGACTTTTTTCTCTTGTGGAACTGGAGCTGCATGTCTTCGCTGCGGAGATGGTTGCGGACTAGACGATACTGCTGACGAAGATGGCGATGATTGCGGACTAGCCGGAGGTTGGATATCGTTAATCACTGATGACTTTTTCAATGACTGGGCAGTAATATTGGATGTCGTTGAAGTCACAGATGCTAATGGCAGTGAAGAAAGTTTCTGCACATTTTGCAACTGCTGAGTCAGTAACAGCAGAGCTGAAGGATCGGAGAAAGTAAAAGCAGGAATCTGCGGAAATGTTGTTGTCAAAGGTGGCCGAAGTAAAGATAGTGCTGCAGTGAGTTCAGCAGCATTTGCAGACATATTGGCGATGTCTAAAGAATTGCTGAAAAATGAAATTTGTTTTTGACCAACTTCAGTAAATCCTTCTTCTAGTACCTTTATTTCATGAATACTTTAGCTGACAGCTGAAGAGGTAAGTAAATAATAAGTAGTTTTTGTATTAAAAACCTCAAAACAGAGAAAAACAAAAGAAGAAAACTGCGAGTGAATTTTAGATCAAAATGACAGTCTTCCGTACTAGTTCAATATTCATTGGTCACCTTCAGTGTTTGAAAGATACTAGTGGAAAAAATTATGTAACTAAATTATTGGTAGCTGTAAAAGAAGGGAAAAACTATGATTATTTTAAAATAAAAAACTTCAAGAAAAAGTGTTTTCACAGTAAAGTTATCATTGATCAGTAACCACCTAGTTTCCTGAACTGAAAGACGAAAGTGAGAGAACTTGGTCGAAAAAAAAAAAAAAAA